CTGTGCTGTAGTGTCCAGTCAGTCAGTCTATATTAACTTCTCTCTCTCAGAGTACAGATGAGGACAGCTCCTTCTCTCTGCTCAGTCAGACCAACATGGCCACAGTAGGTCAGCTGTCCCCGGGGTCCATTTACGCCTTTCAGATCCGCGCGCGCAACGAGCGAGGCTATGGGCCGTACAGCAACACTGTGTACTTCACCACACTGGGTGAGGGTGAGTGTGTGTGTCCCGCTCTGTCGAACCCAGCCCCAGCCCAGGCCTGGCCCTGACCACGCCCTCTCTCTGTCCCCCTCCCAGAGGAGCACTCGCAAGCCCTGCAGAGTCACCTGCCCCTATTGGTCGGCTCCGTGATGGGCGGGGCTGCTTTCCTCTTGGTTGCTGCAGCTCTGGTCCTTGTGTTTGTGTTCCGAAGGTCAGTGACCGCCCGTACCCCAAATGAACAAGAGCACTCAGACAGAACCACAGACTGAAGAATGCACACACCGATAGGGACCATGCAGCTTAAGGCTGTGTACCGTTGCATGGACAGGGCAATTAAGCAATTAATTGTGTTTATTCTCTAGTAAACGCAGGGAGAGCCCTTACAGTGATCGACTTCAGAGGTACATCACTAACAGAGGTAAATTTTCCCCACTGTTCACCGTTTATATTAATGCGTTTATCTATCGCTCTGTGTTAGTTGTGGTCTACATTAGGGTCAGTATTAATCTCTGTGTGTGAGGTGTGTCTCTAGGGTCTGTATTAGGGTCTGTATTAACCTCTGTATGTGAGGGGTGTCTCTTGGGTCTATATTAGGGCCCGTATTCTCTATGTATGAGGTTTGTTTCTTGGGTTTATATTAGGGTCTGTAATAATCTATTTGTGTTATGTGCTTCTTTAGGGTCTTTGTTATGGTGTATATCAATCTCAGCGTAACTGAGTCTTTATTACTATCTGTATTAATCTTTGTCTTTGTGCATGTTAGGAGGTGGTGTGAAGTACTATGTTGATCCCTCCACTTATGAGGACCCAAACGAAGCCGTCCGCGAATTTGCTCGAGAGATCGACCCGGCCCATATCAAGCTCGAGGCGGTGATTGGTGCAGGTGAGCTAGACCTGGGTTCCAATTGGACTGCTTTGGTTTCTAGACCTTTTGTTCTGTACAATTTGATTAAAAGGCAGGAGGAGTGCAGAGAAAGCTTAATCACCTTCCATCTGCATTAGACTGGAATGACTTCTTCTGGAAAGTGATGCTGGGAAATGTAGGTACCGTTCAGTTCAATTCAAGCTTTGTTATCCTCTGGGGATTTACAGCACAATCCAAAACAATAAGAGAGACAAAGATTACCAAGGAAAGAAGGAAGATTATGTGATTGATTACTGTGCTCCATCAATGTCCTGAAGTGATTGGCTTGTGCAATGTGGATACACTGCTGTGCACACTCTTGAGGAAACTCTACAGCTCATAGTGCATCTCCTTATGGAAAATGTTGTGCTGGTGCTAAATGTACATGTAGTCATTTTACTGTACTGTAGTGCAGGTAGGTAATAATACAGTGTGCAGCATGTCCTTCAGTTGATGCAGTGTATCAATGGCTCTCCTTCTCTGTTTCCATTCATCCTCTCCATCTCTTTTCCTATCATCTCCTTCATCTTTTGCTCACTCTCTCTTCCTTTTCTTCTCCTCATCTCCTCCTCTGAGGGGTGTGGGGTGGTGGTGAGGGGGGTGGTTTCTCTTCCAGGAAGACTGGATTAGTACACTTTCTGTGGGGGAAGGGGAGGTGGGTGCATGTTCTCTGCCTGATGATCTATGCCATGAGTGCCACCATATAATAGAGGGGTTCACTCCTGGTCCTGGTCCTGTTCCTGCAGATTTTCATTCCACACTCTTAGCTCTTAATGATCGGAATCAGCTTGGTACTGGCTAACATGGAACAGTTGAACAGCTTCTCCCAGGTGCTGATAGAATAAAGAGACATAGATCATCTGCTGACACACCAACCCCTCCAGAACCAGGACTGGACAGCCCT